AATAAACCTACTAGTATATAATATTTTACTCTTACTAGGTTAGGCGTTAAGCTTAAAGCTACTTCTAGAGCTATAGAAAATATTATATAAAAAGTCTAAAGCGTATAAATATATTACTATAATATAGTAGAAGTATAGTAATACGTTTCTACTAAAGTTAATATAAACTATAATAAACTTATTAGAGACTAAAAATAGGCCTATTTCTTATAGCTTCTATTTTCTTATAGCGCTAATAGAACTATAGTAAAGAGTAAGTATAATAAGTATTATATAACTTTAATAAGTATTAGAGAAAGTTATAGCTAAACTATAGAAGTAGAAAGACTTCTTAGTCTTAAAGAAAGCTAATAGAAAGCTACTTTAGATAGACTATAATAGCTATCTATAAAGGTGTTTAAGGCTAGTAATAAAGCGTTAACTAGTAGTAAATACCTAGATTTAAATAACTTTATAGTATTATAGAGTAAGCTTTTACTATTACTTAATAAGCTTACTTAGTGTTTCTTTTTATAAGTTTATTTATAAGAAAAAGATATTCTAAGATAGTAAAACTATATATACTTCTTTTCTTAATTTTAGCTCTATATTAAGTATTTATTATTAGTATCTAGTAGATAGATTATATAGAAGTATAAGATTCTAACCTTATTATAGATATATAGCTAAAGTCTATATAATCTTATCTTAAACTAATATCTATCTACCTAGTAGTAACTTTATAATATTACTATAATTAAAAGTATAGATACTACTTTTTATTTATTATTATTTAAGGTTATAGATAGAGGCTATAGAATCTACGTAAATTCTATTACTCTTTTATAAGTATCTTCTCTTTATAATAACTATAAGCTTATAGTAACTAGTTTATTTTATATTACTTAGTCTTAAATACTACTTAGATAGCTTTTTTTATATTAGATTACTAAGCTATATACTAAATATAAGTTGCCTTACCTAAAGTAGTATAATATTATTAAGCTTTATTTTTATAAAACTTAGTATTATATACTTTTTTACTATAAGTAATAATATAAGCTATAAAGATTCTACTAATTATTATAAAGTATAACATCTTTATAAGTAATACTATTACTAATAGTATATATATTAGAGAATCTAAGAACTAGTTTTTTTATTATCTCTATCTATCTACTACGCTAGAAGTACGTTAATCTTTTCTTTTATATATTCTCTACTAGTGCTATACTCTAGAACTCTTATACGCTTACGCTAAGATAATATATAACTTTAAAGCTTATAAGTACTATATTATAAGTAACTATATATACTAGATTAATATAGTTATAGCCTTCTAAAAGTATAATAATATCTCTAATCTCTTAGTATATAACGTAGAGTTATTACTTAAGCTTATTAATTTTGTGCTTAAGCTTCTTATATTTACTATTTATACTAGACTTAACTAGTTATTTATAATAGCTTAGTATAGATCTATTAACGTTATAGAGAAGTATTAGACTATAGACTATATCTTATAACTAGCTATTATAATACTCTAGTACTATAATAAGAGCTTAAGCTAGATACTTATAAGCTTAAACTAGATAGTAATACTTAACTATATAATAGCTATACTTATTAATCTTTAGTAATATAGCTTAGCTATATATTATATATATAGTTCTTAAGAAGCTACGTTAACTTTATATTACTTTATAATTTAGATAGCTCTTTCTATCTTTAAAGACTTTACTTAAGAGTTTATATAATATATTACTAAGACTATATCTTAATATCTATCTAACTAAAAGCTTTTTTAGGTAAATAAGCTTTAAATCTAGTTATTTTTTAATACTATTACTTTAATATCTTATATTTAAGTACTAAGTATTAGTTAAATATACTTTTAAGAATTTATAGTTACTTTTTTTAGTTTTTAATAATTACTTTTTAAAGTTACTTATACTATACTTTTTTATTAGCTTTATTTTATTACTAAACTATTATTTTTAGTTCTACTTACTATATATACTAGAAGAAAATATATTCTTACTCTTTTAAAGCTAAAATAAACTATATACTTTTCTAACTTTGCCTAAATAGCTCTAGTAAACTACTATTATTAACTTACTAACTAACTAATGTATATACCTAAAGTTTCTTATAAAAAGACTTTAAATTTAAGTGTAAGCGTAAGCTTTAGAGTCTACTTATGCTAGCTACTAGCGTAAGGCTCTTGTTAGCTATAATTACTTGCGTTCTTGTTACTTACTTTGTACCTCTGTCTTAGGGTATTAATTAACACTTCCAATTCGAAATACACGAAGACAGTAGCATTTTTGATCAGCGGACTAAATCCCAATCAAAAGCCAGCACCATATCTCCATCTGACACAGCTTGCATCTTCCCTCCGGTACCATCTCGTCTGCAGGTGTGGCGCACCTGTGGCTGAAAAGCTCGGACTGGTCCTTCAGCGCCCTGACACCCCTCTTCGCTTCCTCGCCAACAACCAGGTACGTCAACACCACGCCCGCGTTTCGAGCTCCTTACTGCGCCCTCATAAACTTAACCCGCCCCAGACACTGAACCATGGACGCAAATCAAAACGACGAGCTTTACCCCATCGCCGTGCTCATCGACGAGCTGAAGCACGACGACGTTATCCTCCGCCTCAACGCCATCCACCGACTGAACACAATTGCCCTCGCCCTCGGCGCCGAGCGGACACGAGAGGAACTCATACCCTTTCTCGATGGTAAGAGCCTGGCTGGCGCTTGCGTCACGTGTGGACTGGCTAACGGCAGTATCCAGAGTCGGTCGAGGATGAGGACGAGGTTCTCACAGCATTGAGCGAGGAACTTGGCAAGTTTGTCGAGTATGTGGGCGGCCCAGAGCATGCACACGTGCTTTTGTCGCCTCTCGAGAACCTTGCAGCCATAGAGGAGCCTCTTGTCAGAGAGAAGGTGCGCGCAACAATTGCCTCAGCCCGGCCGCCAGCTAACACGTGCAGGCCGTCGAATCGCTCAACAAGATCTGCGAAGAGCTGTCGCAGCAGCAGATTGAAGAGAACTTCATACCCCTCGTCTTGCGCCTATCAAAAGCCGACTGGTTCACGTCGAAGATCTCCGCGACTGGACTCTACCAGACCCCCTACACTCGCGCTACACCACCCTCACAAGAAGCCCTCAGGCAGCACTACGGCCAGCTAGTGCACGATGATACCCCCATGGTCCGGAGACAGGCGGCCAACAACCTCGCCAAGTTCATCAAGGCGATGCCGCCATCCATCGTCATTGAAGAAATGATTCCTCTTTTCCAGCACCTGGCCGCCGATGACCAGGACAGCGTCCGTCTCCTGACTGTCGACATCCTCATTGCCATTGCCGAAGCAGTACCCAAGGAGCAGCAGTCGAGCCACGGTGTCCTGCTGACTGCGCTGCGGAGCCTGTTCGAGGACAAGAGCTGGAGGGTGCGATACATGGTGGCAGACCGATTTGAGAAGGTGCGTTTGGCTCGCAGCGAGAAAGCGCATGCGCTAACGGGTACAGATTGCAAAAGCCGTCGACGACGAGGTTGTCAACCGAGACCTTGTACCCGCATTTGTCAAGCTCCTCAAGGATACCGAGGCTGAGGTCCGCAGCGCCATCGCGGGACAGATTCCAGGTAGGTTACTATGCAGTAAACGCGCGGCACACGGCTGATCATTACTAGGCTTCTGTGCGCTGTTGGAGCGTGAGACTCTCCTGCACGAGGTTATGCCCAGCATAGAGGAGCTGGTCTCCGATCAATCACAGCATGTGCGCGCCGCACTTGGCACCCAAATCAGTGGGCTCGCCCCCATTCTTGGAAAGGAAGAGTAAGTTGCGACTGCGCGTGACCACGTGCTTACCTGCTAACATGAGTCAGGACCATCTCGCATCTCCTTCCCATGTTCCTCCAGATGCTCAAGGATGAGTTTCCCGACGTCCGCCTAAACATCATCTCCAAGCTCGAGTCTGTCAACAACGTCATCGGCATCGAGCTCCTCTCGCAGTCCCTCCTCCCAGCGATCGTCCAGCTCGCCGAGGACAAGCAATGGCGCGTACGTCTTGCCATCATCGAATACGTTCCCCTCCTCGCCTCACAACTCGGTGTACAATTCTTCGATGAGAAGCTCAGCAGCCTGTGCATGAGCTGGCTGGGCGACACAGTTTTCTCGATCCGTGAGGCATCCACTCAGAACTTGAAGAAGCTTACGGAGGTTTTCGGTGTAGAGTGGGCCAACGACGCTATTGTTCCTAAGGTCATGGCTATGGGCCAGCACCCCAACTACCTCTACCGAATGACGACTTGCTTCGCCGTGTCAACACTCGCGCCCGCTCTCAGTCTGGATGTTATCGAACAATCCATCATTCCCATGATGGACAAGCTGGTCAATGACGATATCCCCAACATTCGCTTCAACGTCGCAAAGTCATATGGCCAGCTCATCAACACACTCAAGCAGCTGCCTGAGCAGGGTACCGTCATCGCTCTGGAGAAGGCTGGCACACCGGGCCAGGGCTGCCAGAAGGCTACAGATGTCATTACAAAGAGCATTCTGCCGAACCTCGAAAAGCTCCAGCAAGATGACGATGTGGATGTACGATACTTTGCGACGACGGCCGCACAAGGTTTCACGGACGCGATGCAGACTTAGAAGATCCAGCTTCGCCCGTGTTCTTGAATGTGGGGAATGACATCATGAATAGCATCAACGATGGTTAATGATCTGGAAAGACTGCAGGACAACAGTCTGGGGATGAAGGAAGAACCCAAGCCGCAAGCCCTGTAGGTGTAGCTTCGAGCTTTGTTTTACGAGACTTGAGTGTGGCTAGTAGTTGGGCTCACTAGCAATAAACCACAAAGATTACCCAGTTAGAATCATTCCTGGCAGATTTTCAATGCATACTTTGGCGTTATTATGGGGTGCACGGTGTGTGATGTGGATCATTCATTTTATTATGTGACCAGCTATCGAGGAGTAGCTACAGCTTCTCTCTTATGGTGGGCATTTAGACGGCACCAGCATCCTTGAGCAGGTTGTTGAGCTGACCCTTCTTGGCCTGCAAATCGCTGTTTCCACCAATGTGCTTCTGGGCGATGAAGATGTTGGGGACGGTGGTCTGGCCGGTCATTTCGCCAAGGGTGGACTGAATGGCGGAGCCATCATCTATGCGCGTGTTAGCTGTTGTTCCTCTACATCATCTCGTAGCCATTTCCACATACCGACTTGGTCCAACTCAATGGCGTAGAACTTTGCGCCGCTGTCGCTCAGCAGCTGCTTGGCCTGGCGGCAGTATGGGCAGTACGACTTGGAGAAGACAGCGACGGGGTTCTCGTCGATGATGGACTGGACCTTGGTCTTTGTGGCGGACATTGTGGCGGGCGAGGGGGCGCGCGTGAAGAAGTGACGCAGGAAGGAAATTTTGGCGGTTGTTGTAGATAGCTGGAGATTTGTGAGTACTGTGTTGTGGTGTTGGAAGGGTGGGCGGGGTGACGTACTTATGCGTGAAGTCGAGGTTTGTCAGATGATGGTAGTAGCTTTATGAGCTTGGTTCTAGATGTACTGTATACAAGTAGTGGATTAGTGTGCAGCTGCCCCCCGCAGTAGCAAACGTTCTCGATGGCAAATGATGCAATCACTCGTGAAGTACTGCGCTAACTGCCGTCGGAGATGGATCGGCGATGCGACGTGATGTGCTTACAAAGACTGAAAGACGGACAGGGGTAAGGACGCGGACTCGTCATGACGCGTGCGGCTGATTGCGACGCGGACGAGAGTAGGGACCTAGCTTGTACGCATGTTTAGACCATAGTGCCAAGTGCATAGCTATGAGAATCGCGGTGAACGTAATCATGGAGTTCTAGATGAAAAGATGGAAAAGTAGAACGTAACAGAAATCAGACCGGGTCGCGCACCTTCCGCATTCCGAGATTGAGCAGCGTTCCGACGCTTCCACGCCGTCCGTCGCGACAACTGTCAAACTATCTTTGGGCCAGCCACATCCAGGCTCCCTTTCACTGTCACCACACATAGCCCTAATCCGCGCCATCACCGCCACAACCCGGGCCTTTTCTATGCGCACCCCGTACCACACACCACGATGACGTCCTCAGCGGCCGGCTCAACCGCCTTCTTCGTCCTCTCCCTCCTCTCCATATGCGGCGCCGTCCTGCTGCTCCTCCGCTACTACCTCCCGCTCCGCACCACACCCGCATACGTCGTCGTACCCGTCTTCTTGGCAATAGCGCTGCCGGCCAGCATTGTTGTGCTCCTGCCGATCGATCTCGCGAGTAGTGCTGGATTGGATACAACGGATGGCGCGAGGGGCATCTGGTTGAATGACACGGTTGTCTACAAGGCATGGCGCATCATCTACTGGCTCACGTTCGCGCTCACGTGGGCGATTCTGCCTATGCTGGGCGAGTACTGCGATAGTGGGTACAGAGAGCCCAAGGCGAGGTTGCAGTATGCGCTGAGGAGTAATGGACGGTACTGGCTCATTGTCGCCGGGTGCAGTATCGTTGGCTCGATCTATTTGATCATCTGGAATGGATTCGAAGCGGATACCTTTAAGAGTCTGGTCATGGCGCTGGCGTACACGTGGGGTCTTATACTGGGTATCTACCTCATGGGTCACGGACTCGTCGCATTCCCCAGGAGCCTGTTTCGGTACGCGAGTGTTAGTGAGAGGTTGAAGAGGATACAGAGTTCGGCGCCAAAGGTTCACGAGAGGTTGACTGAGGCGCTGGAGAAGTTGGATCAGTACGAATACCAGGTCGTGCAGCTCAAGCAGAGGAAGAACGGCACGGCGCGGGAGTTCCAAGAGTGGATTGATGAATTGGCGGAGAAGGGCAATCTTCCGGAGAACAGGGCGGGTGTCGTTGGACGCATGGGCACGGCGACGGTGCCTCCAGTCATCACGGAAAGATACCTGGCGGACCTGACGAGGAAGTTGAAGCGCGCGCGCCATGCGAAGTGTCGGTTCGAGAACGAGTGGGATCATGTTGTGCGGAGGGCAGTCAGGACACAGGCCATCCTCGACTCGAAAGCCAGCAAACATCTCGAGTTCAAAGGTGCCGCGTTACCAACCTCGAGAGGACTGTTCGATCGCATGACTATCCTCACACCACTGACGCGCTACTACCTACACGTCCATGTTATTCCTTCTCTGGCCTACGTCTCTTGGGCCATCACGATCCTCGCCTCTATCTCCATTGTCTGGTCAGAATGCGTACGCGAAGCCCAGGACTTCGGCGGGCCTAAGCTATCCATCATCGGCTGGACAGTCGTACATCGCCACGACAACGGCCGGTCGTCGGTTGGATTCAACAGCCAGATCATTGCCGCTGCCTGGCTGTGCTACATGTGCATTTGCGCATTCTACAGTCTCACCGAGGTCAAGATCTGGGGCAACCGAGCGCTTGTGAGAAGAAATACGTACCAAGAGTCCGCGACCTGGTACGGGCTCCAAGTCGCCAAGTTGACAGTACCTCTAAGCTACAACTTCCTCACCATGACAGACAAAAACATCTGGAAAGGCACAATGTTCTACAAGTTCCTCGGCCGTCTTATCGTCCTCACACCCTTAGGCGAGGGCTTCAGTGCCTTCTTCCCCATCTTCATCCTCGTTCCCGTCTTCGCCACAGCCTTCGGCCTTTACGGCAAAGTAAAGAACATCTGTGGCTTTGGCGACCTACTCGACGACGAAGAGGACTCAGCAGGGAACTACGCTGGCACCGGGTCCTGGCGCGAAGGCCGCGCATTAATCGAGCGTGAAATCCAGGGCGCGAGCGGGAACGTCCTTGGTCTTTCCCAACGAAGCTCTACCAGCCCGCCGAACGAACGCTACACCGACAACCCGGCACCATCGTCAGCCTCCAACCTCCCCATATCAAACGCAGCAGCAGCTACCAGTGGCCCAAGCACAACGCGCCCCGACCGCCGCCGCCCACAACTCAACGACGAAGAAGACGAAGGCAATTTCTTCGAAAACTTCGCATCGAGAGTCAAGAACACATTTGAGACAAATGACTTTTCCTTCCCCCGGCCGAAGTGGCTGGGTGGTGATGACGATGAAGTCGAGGCTGGACGTAGTAGACGGACACAGTTAGATAGAGGGGAAGGGGAGCGCGGAAGTGGGTTCTTGAGCTTGTTTGGAGGGAGGGGTGATGAGGGGAGGGTGAGGTTGTAGGCATTTGTTGTATATGATAGGTGGGCATTGCGATGGCGTTTCTTACAACTTTGGAATAGATCATGGGTTTGCGTGGGTGTATGAGTATTGGGTGCACGGATTTTACATATAGGGTACATGGCTTTAGACTTTTTGTTCTGCGCTGTTGCGCTTGGCATATATTTAATATCAGATACTCTTATGTTTTAGGGTGGGTGCCTTCTAGTTGTGGGTGCCGAGGCAGTTGCAATGACTTTTGGCATGTTGTGGGTGTGTCTGGTCAGCCTCGTGCGCCTCGCGCGGTTCACCGGTCGCGCTTTCCTTGGCTTCAGCCTGATGTAGCTGCCTGGGATCGTTGTTAGCCTAAGGCAGCCAATCAAATAAAGCGATGTATGCACCTTGTCGATACTCGACCGCCCCCTTCCCCAGCCTTCTCGTTTGGTACTTCTGCACATTCCTCTTCAACTCGCCAATCCCATCGTCTAGACTATGGACGGGCACATCTACGGCAGCCGCGTAACTGAGCTGGATCCGGGTCAGTGCACGGATGAAGCGCCCGAACACGATCCTGAGGGGCCCAAATACACCGCAAATCATGCATCTGTGGATGTCATGGATGTCGCATTCAAAAAACTCGACCTCGCTCCTTCGGAAGCCCAGATCGACTGTACTACTCCCAAGGAGATTGGTTGTGATCACAATCGCAGTCTCGGAAACGATTTCGATTACGGTTTCCCCACGAGTACAGCCGATGAGGAACAATTTCGAATGAAGCAAGAGGACGGACATAGTAATGATGACGATGATGTATGTCAGAGATGCAAGTCCTTCCGTTGGGATCAAATCCCATATACGCAGTTACCTCATGAGACTCTGCTTCTTATCGACATGACGAAGGCTCAGCTAGCAGCATCGCACTGCCGCATCTGTCGCTTTGTCGCGAAGATCATCGAAGCCCAGCACCTCCCAGAAGACAAACACTATTCGCTGGTAGGATTTAGAGTGGACTCCACCACCTCTAATAATTTCTGTTCAAACATACCCAACATTCAAGGAAAAGGAAACACAGGCCTTGCACAAATTAAGCCTCATGATCCGGAGACTGGAGAACAAGTTTGGACAGCCTCTGATGGAGAGTGGAGCCCGTTCCCACATCTCGCAATCACCGATTTTTCACCGGAGGACAACTCGGTCGAGAAGCGTTCCTACAAGGCCAGCCACATGAAACTCGATCAGATCAAAGGTTGGATTGAAGACTGCCACATAAAACACCGCGAATGTTACATTGGAGACGTCCAGCATCTGCTGCAAAACTTGCGTCTGATTGATTGTGGTTCAAAGACTGTTGTGCCTGCGCCTGTGGGATGCCATTACGTGGCACTGTCTTATGTTTGGGGACAGCACAACGATGCTTTTGACGACTTGCAAAATCCACCAAAGACTATCGAAGACAGTATCTATATCGCGCAAATGCTAGGATACCGGTACCTCTGGATCGACAGATTTGTGCGTACCTACCATCTTTCAGTGCATTCGTTGAGACTAACCAACCCAGTGTATCGACCAGAATGATAGAATGGATAAGCACACGCAGGTCAGGCAGATGGGCGAAATATATTCCGCAGCACAGATTACGCTTGTGGCGGCAGCAGGAAGCGACCCAAGCTATGGCTTACCCGGCGTCCTGTCGAGGCCACGACTCATACCGGAAGCCGAGGAAATCCAAAACATGTGTCTGAAGCCTCTCCCACGCTTCGTTCAGCTAGCAGAAGTAGCTGAGTCAAGATGGGCTTCCCGAGCATGGACCTTCCAGGAATTCTATCATTCCACGAGGCGTTTAATCTTCACTGAGAACCAGATTATCTTTGTGTGCAATAATCACATCAGGTGTGAGGTAGATTTGTCGGGAATCCACTGGCCCAGATCAGATGAGTTGCCAACAGAAGATGGGTATTGGGCTCAACGTTGGTTACCCCAACATGGGTTGGCAGGGGATCAAGGGTCGAGCTGGACCGCTATTGACCGGGCCGCGGGACATCTACAGGCCTATAGCAATCGGGACTTGACGTACGACAGTGATAGCTTGGATGCTATCTCAGGTGCTCTACATTCGCTTCGGAAGGATTCCATTTACCATACCTGGGGTGCACCTTTTCGCCACGCTGCTGCGTATGCAGCAGATTCTCTTTCGGCAAGACTTCGACACTACAATCTCACATATTCTATACGTGATCGTGGAAGTTTCGTCTCTATTGGAAGTCGACGATCCACCAACACAGACGATAACGACGTCGAGCGCGTCCATGTATCTGCCTCGCAGGATTTCCAAAGTATGAATTATCCCTCTATACCTCAAAAAGGAGATAAATGCTCTGTCCTTGGACATGGGCAGCAAATTGAGATGGCCCTTGCATGGTATCACCAGGAACCAGCTCGTCGTCGATGTGGCTTTCCAAGTTGGTCCTCTATAGGATGGGAGGGTCCATTGAGCTGGTCAAGATGGGCCTGTAATATCGATCGCGAAGAGCCTCCTATAGTGCTGATTCAGGTTCGGAAAGCTCGACTGCACTTTCCAAAATTCAGCTGCGATTTGTCGAAGTTTGACCCGGCACTACAAGAAGATGTCGACCCCGCACCACCGACGCTTGAGTTTACAGCGAGAACAGCGAAGCTAGACTTGGTGCCTGATGGCTGGACTGATGGCTATCCTGATCATTTTCAAGTGGCGCTGGAGATCAACGATCATTACAAATACGCCTTTGGACTACACTGGGATGCAGACCCTGCTTCTTTAAGCTCGAAACAACTTGTAGGCGCTCTGCTCGATGGACGAACGGAACACTCAAAAGAGCTTGAAGGGTATCTGATGGTGCTTGCTCCATATGGCGACGTCTTGGAACGAGTTGGTTTGGTGCACCTACCCAGCATTGCAAAACGCCTGTACAACAATCATATGCTAGGACAAGACCTCCTGCCTCTAGCTGGACATACTGGGCGCGAAGCGGAGCATATAGCCCTCACAGGCTACCCTTGGGAACGCCGTACATGGTGGCAGAGCTCGTTTAGCGATTACCGCCCCGTTGTCATAGGATAGAAACACTTGGATAGTGCTTCCAGAGAACTGAAGGAACGCGCCGCAAACTAAGCAGAGAATTTGTGGATTGGCGAATGAAAGCTTTTCAGTTGAGGATCAGATCTCAGGCTTTGGAGGGGTTGAGCGAGGCTGTTGCACATTGCTTGACGCAGTCCAAATCAGGCAACTTCTCGAAAGCCGTCGATTGCCCGCGTCTGCATTGTTACCACGGCGTCGTCTGAACTCGAAGTACGCACCCTGAATTAACCACAGCGACCGTTCGGCAGCATCGCACCTCGTTCAAGAAGAAAAAACTTAAAACCCCCGGAGCCTACTTTGACGTTAGATCAGCTACGTTGCGTGCTTTTATTTTAATGTATGCTGCAAACCTGTTCAGGATTCTCATTGTGCAAGGTGATCGCAAAATGAAGAAAGGCCGGAATGAGGAACAGTATGTTATCGCGACTTCCATTACTTGAGCAGACAGTTTGATTTTGTTTCTCAGCCTATGCTCTACATTCCCAGCTCTCAGGCTTCTTATAACTACCCCCGACAAACGTGTTCCTCGCCGGATACTTGCAATGCCTCCTCGTAAAATCCACCCCACTCTTTACGGTATCATTCATAAACTTCGTGCCCTCGATAAACTCCGGCGCAACACCCTTCTCCACCCAGTCTACCATCGCCGCAAGAACATTGTGTTGCGCATCAGATGGTATACCAGCCTGCGCCGCGTTCCCACCCTGACCCAACACCCACGCCCCTGGCCCCGTGCTGCAATGAAACATGCCCGATATACGGAAGAAACGCGTCCATTCATCCATCTCTGCGTACGTGTTGTTACCACGGAGATGCTCATAAAACCGGTTCGTATTGAAAGACGTGATCTGATTATCCTGCTGGCCGTGGTACATGAGTAACTTCCCGCCGCTTTCCTTGAAGCCAGGCAAAGAAGAAGGGTAGGTGCGGATATCGCCTGGATTGAGGTCCTGTGCTGCTTGTGCGTCATCATAGCCGTATTCTGATGCGTTCCACGTTGGGTCGTTGTAGACGACGTATTTGAACCAGTCGTCTGAGTAGGCGAATGGGGCGCCGGCGTAGAGTTTGTCGACGGCGTTGATTTCGCTGCCGGGCTGCATAGCCGGGTAAATTAGTTCGCCATTTGGGAAACGGTAGTCGCTGAAAATTTTCTGGACTTGTTGCACTTGGTTGTCGTTTAGGCAGTTGGTTGTATTTGTGATGTTGTGACCGCAGAGTAGGTTTGTAGGGTCGAACTTGCATAGGGTTGGGTCTTCGATGATACCATCTTTGACTTTGTCGATGGTATCGCATTGGCGTAGTACCTCGTCGTGGATCCAAGTTTGCCATGCTGCCTTCGAGATGAAGTCTGAACCTTTGATGGGCCCGGTGATGGTGTAGAAGTGTGCGCGCCAGGAGATGAGGTTGTTGAAATCGACACCCGGAGCGCCAGCAACTATGCCATCGAAGTCGTCAGGAAACCTCTCTGCGCTCTTGATGCCCTGGCGTCCACCGAGAGAACAGCCCAGGTAGTAAGATTTGGTATGATACTTTCCATAAAACTCCTTGGCCAATGCTTTGCCTGTTTCGACGCTTAAGTGAAGACTGTATTGCCGGTGAGTATACGCGCCGTGAGTAGTAGAGACATTCTTACGATCGCCAGGCGAAGTCAACGACCATCTCGGGATTATCGAGGTAGGCTACTCCTGTAGTACCGTTATGACCATTGTTCGCGCCAACGCTAGCGAAGCCATTTGACGCTCCATATGCGATATCCTCGTATTTTATGCCTGTTGTCAAAGTCAGCACTCGCTGCGCTTGACGAGCCATCCTTTCCATCTAACACTTACAGCCATCAATGCCTCCATTCCCTGTTGCCAGAAAGCGACCAGACCAGTCCTCTGGAAACCATGCTTCGAAAGAGATCTTCGATGTTCTGGTCGTCTTGATCTCTAATGCCATACGACAAAGGCCTACTGAGACATTCTGGCTAGCACGACCACAAGTCGCGTCGTTGTCAGGAAACGTCAGATTGGTTCCCGCCGGAACATGTTGGAGAACATTGCGGGTTGCACCTTTGATGTATCTCTCGGGCTCAAATGCGAGACACCTCTTCTCGAATTCAGATGATGCAGCCGCGAATCCAGTCAGCGCAAAGTGCGAGACAAGCAATACCAAAGATGTACGAAACATAGTGACGGGGAAGAAAGACTTGGCAACGATCATCATGGGACTTTAGCGACAGGCTGTCTTTATACTCAGTGCGAAAACAACGGTAGACTTGACAAGCCACGTCCAGCAAGATGCGGGGTGCGAAATGCGGATACCGGCACACTGTCCCGACATTCTTCAATGATTGTAAAAGAGAACGATCCACCTCGATCTTCTCAATTCTCTTGCAATCGTAGCATACGGGCCGACCGCAATGTCAATGGGACAATGAGTCGTGGATCTACTGTTAGAGTTCCTTCTCGGGTGGTATGGCCAAGAATCTGCCCAGGTGGCATCGCAAACTCGAGGCATGTACGCCGTGTCACAACCTGCAGGTGACTAGAAAACGATTGGGGGCTTATGTCCGGACGCCTCACAGTCATTGTGCATATTTGACGGATAAATCGTGCGCAGGTGTCAGTTCAGTGGAGGAAGAAGAGACGAAGTAGTATTGCGGGGTTTCGGCGGTCGCGCCGAGCCCTGAGACAGACATGTGACCTGGGGGCCCTTCTGCGCTAGCTTGCATGCACCCGACAGGTGCGACGGACTTCCGAAGTCGACAACTCAGACACCTGCATCATCCCAGAAACTTCGGATGATGTCTGTTGAAGTCGACCCTTCTCGCCCTCCATACCGAGTATCTGCAGCGGCGCGCCCTACTCAATTGCCGCCAACACGGCCGCCTTCCCTTCTACCTCGCGCCTAAAGTCCTCCAACGAACGTGGTCGTCGCTTCAGCTGCCAATGGTGATCTCTGACATGCTTCAAAGCTCATCTCATAGCAACGTGCAAAGGCTTAGTCTCATCTTGAGCTATTGCGACTCCGTATGCTCTCGTCTATCGCAAACTCATGCGTCATAGTAATCCTCCTCTCTTCATGGCGTCCCAGGATGAAGTCTTGCCAGGTGATCCCATCATTTTCATTAGCAGATCCGCACACTGTTGTCGTAGTCAAGCACAAATCTTCTTCGGCTGGCCGAGTTCTACCCCAGCGTTCTGTCCAAGCGTTGATCGTCCTCGACCCAGTCTCGCGACTCTCAGGGCCCTCCTGCTCCGGAGTATGGCTCGGTGTAACACCGAGTGCACCTGCCAAACAGCGCGTTATACGAATCAAAAGCGGGTGAAGCGTTGGAAGACATCCAGAGATGATGCCAATCGATGGCTCGACGGACGACCATATGAAGACATCGCTCTTTTTCCAGCTGACGTCTGGCGAGGCCATCAATCGGACGATGGTGATGATACGATAAAGCGAGGCGAAGCACACACTA